CATTCATGGCACTGAAGGAACATTCCTTAGCTGGCTGTTGGCTATTGGATGTCTGCAAGACCTCGGAGTGATGTGGTTCCTGACAGGAGAGAAAGCAGGCACTTTGCAAAGTATGCTTTCAACCTCTTTTTAAGCGCCGCAGCCTCAGCTGCTGGGTTGTACAACTGTCTAAGCTGCCGGAATTTTATGCTTGCCCAAAGGCTCAGTATGCCGTTATGATTTCTCTGGAAACAGGGACCGCTCTCACTTCATGAACTTCCTGCGTGTCCGTGTCCCGCCCATCCACTCCAGTGCGGTCCACCTTAATTCTTGCCGACACCAAAACCCCAAACCCAAACCCAAACCTCAATCCCGACGCCAAAAACGCCCACAAAAGGCGGTGGCGCTCCTGATGATCCTGATCTCAGAGACGCGCCTGGCCTCGAAGATGGGTACGACCTCCGGCGCCGCGCACCAGACCGAGGGGCTGCGGTTGTAGTGGGGGTCTCGTGTCTCGGGTGTTCTGTGAGACCTGTGGGGACTCGGCTGGGGGTTTTGCGGTTTAGGTTTTGGTTGGGGTGCCAGATGGGTGAGTCGTTTGTGGCTTTGGCTCTTGCGGAGGCACGGCCCTCACAGATGCCAACAGAGTCCAAACAAAGCCTCAGTCGTTGAACAGTCCAAGTTCCCCATGTTTGCGATGTCATGGGAGGAGTCCTAGAGGTTCGGGTGGGCTTACACCCAAAGCCGGAGCCCCGCCGGGCCGCAGGATTCTCGACGCGATTTGGCGCATTGCTGGCCTCTCGCTGAGTTTGCCGATGGAGTGGGCAGGTGGGCGTCTTTCTGGCGTCTTTGCATAGCGCTTGTTCCAAGCTCTCTCTCCACCGTACAGGCAACTCACATGTGTGTCGTGCCTGAAGCCTGCAGCTGCATGCCACCGACGGACAGGCCAGACCTTTCTGTCCAAAGACCTCACGGGTGCAGAATGGAGACACATCGCTTGCCGGCGGCAGATCGGTGCTTCAAGCCTCGGGCCGTGAACCCTGAAAACTTTGAAGCTACTGTAGCCTAGAAACGCTGCTCGCTAAATACCCGTAGTGGTCATCTTCTCCTTCGTCTCAATACCTCTACGGCATCATCCATGTAGCATACCCCAAAACCTCATTCTGATTGTTGACGCCCCTGTTTCAAGCCCAAGCCCCTTCGGCACCTTCCATTTGACGCTGAGGCTTCAGTGATTTCGGCTGCATCGATGTGCTTCTCCATCCTGAGCGCAGGCCATCAGGGCCTGGGGAGTGGGGGTTGGTGCTGCGCTTGAGGCTGAGGGGCTGGGTGGCTTGGGATTCGATGTTGGCATCGTGTATCAATGTGTATCAGCAAAGAGTGGTTTCGTGGTTGGCGATTCTCTCAAGAAACAGAGTGGGCGGCATGGGGCATCGTCATTCTTTCTTGGCTATCACGGTCTGGCCTTGAAGGGTTTCGGATTTCGATGCTGTGGGTTCAGTCTTTCTCTAATACCCGCTGGATCCCTCTGGATGATTAGGCTTATCAAGTCCAGCCCTCGCAGGTCTTCAAAACATGTACAGAAGAGCCAGGGATGTTCCAGCAGACCTCCTGAAGCAAAGAGACCTCCCAAAGCTCTGGCGAGGATGCGTGCTGGCCTTCCTGCGCTTTCGCTTGGGCCTCAGCCTCTCAGATTCCCGACACACCTTGCCCCCAGACTTGATGTAAAGCCTGCTCTGATGCCAGTCTCAGGTGTGGATATGTTCACGAAAGATCCGCTTGTCCAAGCTGACGTTCTTTACAGCTCCATGGCTGCAGCGCTTTTCGAGGTGCCTTCGAGCTCTTCCCCGAAGGATCCAGAGGGACTCTGCTTTTTGAGCTTTGAACGTATCAGTGCTGTGAGCCGAGGCACCCCCAGTGTAGCCATGTGCTCCGGGCTGATTGCCTCTCGCTCGGCAAATTGCGAAGCTCCTTTGGGTGTGGGGCTTCGCGTGCATTTTCGGGGTAGCTGTAGCTGGTGGAGAAAGTCCCGCTGACGTTCTCGCTGTGTTCTATACCTTGTTCGAAGTCAACTTTCTGAGCAGCTCTTTCCAAAAAGCTGGTTTCCTCTTGTGGTTTTCTTCTCATGCTGAATCGTTGTATCGTCGCATGTTTTGGGCTGTTGCGCCTGGATACATCCCAGTTTTTGCAAGCTGTTTGGAGCATGGCCTTGCGACCATGGTTTGTGGCCGGGGTTCAGGGTTTCCGAATGCGTTGAAGTCTGTAGATGTCTGCACGGTTGTGAGATCGTGCTCCCACGAATACGTCGAGCCGAATGATGCAAACCAGCTGGCACCTGAAGCTCCAAAGCCTGAAGCCCAAACAACAGGTTCTCTCGCAAACCCTGATGAGCTACCTGATCAGTCTCGGCAAGGTCCCCCTTGACAGCAGAGAAAGCAGTTTCGAGGTTGTCGGGTTGAGGTTGAAGGCTTCGAGTGTACTCGGGCTGCAGTGCTTTGTAGGGCTTTGGATATGAAGTTTCGGGATGCTGTGGGGTTTCAGGTCTGGTTTGCCGGTTCAACCTTCTCAGCTGGCGTGTAAGGTGTCCCAAACCTTGCAGCCTACAACCATCTACAACCTTAACCACTGTATCCTAAAGCCGATACCCCTTTCAAACCATAGACCCTGAGGCCCTGACCCTGTGAACCCTGGGAAACGTTTTTTGTTCTTGCCACTACCGCAAGTTAAGGAGGTGACCTGTAGTCTGGAATCTGGGCAAAACCCCGCATGACACCGAGAAGCTCTGAACCTTGCATGGTAGTGACACGAAAACTACTTTGACTGAGGGACGGGCTTGAGCCTCTTAAGCTAGGATCTGCGAAGCGGAGGTGCATTTCATTCCGATCACGGGTGGAATGCTGGTGGTGCTCTTCACAGCCAGCAGCTATGTGCTGTACCTGAACGGCGCCGTGACACGATTTCAGCTTTGAGCGTTGTCTGCGTGCAGGCTAGTGGGCGTAACTACACGCGAAACATCACTACACTCAACAGCCTCGAAGCTCGGAGCCTACAGTCGTAGGCTTAGACCTTGCAAGCCCGAAGACAGATGTGATTGTCGTGGGGCCACAGACGTGCCTGGAGGTAGGAGTCGAAGCTCGGTGCAGCCACGTTTACGACAGGACTCGTATCCCGCTCTAGGCCCTTTCAGGCCTGTCCCAACCCCGAGGGTAGAAAGCGCGTATTTTATTTTTTTATGCAGCGCCCCGAGCCGCGGAAGTTGTGACCGGCCGAAGGCCGGAAGAGCCCTGAGCCCCGAGCCCACGACTTTGCTTGACCCACTCCGCGCAATGGATTTCAGGTGTGCTCAGCTTGCAGCGTGACTTGGCAGACTTTTGCTTCGGCTTCGGCTTCGGGATGTTTCTTGCGGACTGCTTCTTTATTATCGCCATGGGCTATCGTCTTCATCTTCTCATCCATCATGACCGTTGTCATCATCATCACCATCATCATAATTGAGCTTGATGCCAATGCCGTAACAACGCCAAGGCATGTGGGCTCTCAAAGCCGCTTTGCTCTGCTTCGCCGTGCCGGGGGCTTGGCAAAACACAACCATGAAATGCACAACAACCATTCTAAGACTTCAGCAAGTTAGTAATGACCCATTAATGCTAATTAATCACTGTGCTTGAAAAAATGACAGCAAGAGCAAGAGTTGATTGCACCAGGAAGACAAACAGCTGCTGCCGATGCTGCTGCTGCTTCCGGCGGCGACGACGACGAAGACGCTTGCTGCTACCCTAGTTATACACCACCACGACAACCACCGCGACGACGCCGACGACCTAACGACGACCACTATTGCTACTGCTCCTCCTCCTCCTGCTGCTGCTACTGCTGCTGCTATAACTATTACTACTACTCCTGCAGTTACTACTCCCACTCCTAGCTCCTTCCTGCTCCTGCTCCTGCTCCTGCGCCTGCTGCTGCTGCTGTTGCTGCTGCTGCTGCTGCTACTGCTACTGCTACAACAACAACAACTACTACACGTACTACTACTACTACTACTACTACTACTACTACTACTACTACTACTACTACTACTACTACTACTACTACTACTACGTACTACTACTACTACTACTACTACTACTACTACTACTACTACTACTACTACTACTACTACTACTACTACTACTACTACTGCTACTGCTACTGCTACTGCTACTGCTACCGCTACCGCTACTGCTACTGCTACTGCTACTGCTACTGCTACTGCTACTGCTGCTGCTACTGCTACTGCTACTGCTACTGCTACTACTGCAGGATTTCCGTTTCCGCTCCGGCTGCGGCTGCCACTGAGTACATGCAAAAACGCACTTGCAACAAGAATCCACCCCATCCTGATCCTTGTCGACCACTTTTTCGTTGTTGTAGATAGTCTCCTGTTGCCGTCGACTGTATCGTCATGGCAGTCTTGGCAACTAGTGGCGCGGGATGGTGCTGCCACCCTTCTTGGGAGTGTCATGTCCCTCCGTTGCTCTCCTAAGGTTGTGGCAGTGTTGTGTGGTTCTCTACACATGCCGCCGAAGACATTAAGCGCGGAAGAGCAAAAGAATCTCTGCCGAGCAGACGTTTGCCTGGGTTAAATTTCGGCATGAATCGATTACTAGCGCACATTGAGACACCCTAAACCTTATCTTGACTCCCAGGTGATTTGATTCATCCCATCGGAAGCCACGGTAAGCCGACGAATCCTCCCCTTTCACAATCGGTTTTATCCTTGCTTTAGCATTCTTAAAGAAAGAGGGCATCGTTCGCATGAATAAAGATAGAAAGGTTGAAAAAACCTGATGATTCAAAGAAGAGCTAGAAGGCTGGAGTTTAATTTTGATATCCCTCGGAAGTTATTGATGGGGGACTTTGGGCTTCGAGTCTAGGGCCTTCCCCAGATCTCGACGCTGTACAAGCAGCAGCTCGACCCCGAGCCCTAAGCGCAACGCCACGACTCAAGTCCGGCGGATCCTAAGCCTCGATGATGCCAGGGGGGCCAAGTCAGTCGGTGACTGGCTCTGTCCGAACTCTGCGTTCCAAGCTGAGGGTTTTCAAGTTCAGACGTGTGGAGTTGGGGGGTGTCCATAATTGAGCATAATCGGCAATCGGTGTGGGGCTTCTGGCTGGTGCAGTATGTCGTCGCTTGTTTTCGCGCTGCTTGACATACTCTCCGAAGGTGATAGGAGTCTTCTCCGTGTCCTCTGGGGCTGTAGCACTCAGAGCCCATGTTTCCGAACTCTGAGACTCTCAGCCCATACCCCAAACTTCCAAACCCCTGCGCCAGTCCTCAACCCTTGACGACAGACCCGGTCCTAATGACGCAAATCCAGTGATCGAGGTGCGTCAATGCGAAGAACTGTGTCTTCGCGAGTAAGAGCAGCTGCCCCAAATGCGGAGCGCCGGAGCCTTGGGTCCTGAACCAAAAAACCCTGCTCTAAGTCAGGATCTCGAAGTCCTCACCCGCTTAACGGCTTCACCACCGCAGCAGCTTCTGCCCTTCGGTTAATCCCGGACCGGCCGTGTTGCAGTCTGGTCCGGTTCATACAGGGCAGAAACCGCACGGCAGAGATCGCTAGCAGGCAACTCATGACTCGCAAACAGGGTGGCCTGATAGTACTGCTGCTGGCAACGCCTCCAACGTGTGCCCGATGCATCCACATCCGATGTTGGTGTGCCCTGACAGAGGTCGTCGGTTTTTGTGACAGCATGGTTGCAGTTCGCTTGACGGTGAAGATGTGCACAACTTGAGGACGTAAGTATTGAACTTCGTTGAACACGCTTAGCTCTATCACTTCGTAATATGATCTTGGGTAGGATATACTGATCTAAATCTGCTTGGTGGTGCCCTGCTGACGAGAATCATGATTCGTTGTTCCTGGATGACGTTCGGAAGGCTGTGTGGCCATGATGGCTTGACTTCAACAGCTTCTGCCCTTCGGTTAATCCCGGACCGGCCGTGTTGCAGTCTGGTCCGGTTCATACAGGGCAGAAACCGCACGGCAGAGATCGCTAGCAGGCAACTCATGACTCGCAAACAGGGTGGCCTGATAGTACTGCTGCCGCCAACGCGTCTAACGTGTGCCCAATGCATGAAGAACCAACGCAGTTTGTTGTGTTCGAAGGTTCGAATCTCAAACGCATGAAGAATCAGACGGTCGTGATGATGGTCATGTGGCTCGTTCCATTGTGATTGCCATGCCCAGGTGTTGGAGACACTGCAAAGGTTTGTTGCGCTTCCGCGACTGTGTCGTTGGTGCTTGATAGATAACTTTCGATTGCATCAGTAGTTGCCGCAGTTGGCTCCGTCGTTCTTAGCAGAGAAACAGCATGCAGCTTGTCTGGGTTTGCCCTGGGTGAAAGAAAGGCAATTTTCTTGACCACTTTTGAAGCGTGCGTAGGTTGGTTGTCGTCAGGTAACAAGAAGATCTGGCTGCGGCTCGACCTTCCCCACCTGTCCCATGACATGTCTGTGTTGATCTCGTCGGTGTGTTGATCTGCTCGAAGCAGGTTGCCGGTCTATCAGGGTAGTTCTCTTTCCTTCAAGTCAGCTGCACAAGCTGCGCTCGTGTTTGTCTGTTGAGTTCCGTCTGCAGAAGAGCTGTGGCGACGGGTCTCGGTCTGATATCGAATTTCGTCACCTGCCTCCAGTCTTCCTGGTATTCCGGATCTTCGCAGACCTGCTTCAGAGTCTTGGAGCATCTCATCCAAGATATCATGCTCGGACGTCGCAAAAGCACTCAGGACGATGCGCTTCATGTGCGGTTGGCGCACAGCGAACTCACCCTATCGTAGGCAAACGAGAAGCCGGTAGCATCAACTTTGGGGCCGGTTCCTTTTTGTAAGGATCTTGAAATTATTTACGGTACCTCTCTTCGGGAGTTCCGTTTGAAGGGAGAGTAGCCTTGGCATCTGCAAAGTGTGGCGAGTCCTCTGCTGGCGCCAGAAGCTGAGGCAGAAGCCATCGTACGTGTGGGAGCCGAGCATTGCCAGGGTTTGGGAGGGATCACTTGGAGGGTCGGTGCGATTTGTAGGTGAAGCCACTCCGATTCCGAAGTATGAAGATACTTCGGCCGAATTCTGGAGACTTGAAGCCCTATTCCACTGAACCGCATGGCAGCCCCAAGGGTTGAGGGACTTCTAGTCTTAGAGGTTAGAGATAAACGTCTATCACTCCAGCCACCAGCCCGCTGCCGCTGAAATCCACAAACGTACACCAGAATGTTTAGACGCCTGAAGCTTTACCGCTGCTGGAGAGCTGCTGGCAACCCAAAGCTCTATGCCCTGGCGCCCGCTTTGAGGTGCAGAGCGCTGGCACCGGTGGCGGTGGCAACCGTGGAGCCTGGACAGGTGGCGGCTACGGCGGCATGGGTTCGGCGCCCGGGCACTGGGTCATTGAAGCACGACGACGACTAGAAGGACGACAGTTGACTTGTACTACGCCTGCTGCTGCTGCTGCTGCTACTGCGGTAGTGGTAGTGGTAGTAGTAGTAGTAGTAGTAGTAGCAGCAGCAGCAGCAGTAGCAGTAGTAGTGGTATAGTGGTGGTGATGGTGGTGGCGGTGGCGGTGGCGGTGGTGGTGGTGGTGGTGGTGGTCGTGCTCGTGATCGTGCTCCAGCAGCAGCTACTGCTACTGCTACTGCTACTGCTACTGCTGCTGCTGCTACTGCTACTGCTCCTGCTACTGCTACTGCTACTGCTACTGCTGCTGCTACTGCTGCTGCAACTCCTATTCACACTCCTACTCCTACTCCCACTCCCACTCCTACTACTACTGCTGCTGCTGCTGCCATTACTACGACTACTACTCTTACTACTACAACAACTACTACTACTACTACTACTACTACTACTACTACTCCTACTGCTACTGCTACTGCCACTGCCACTGCCACTGCCACTACCACTACCACTACCACTACCACTACCACTACCACTACCACTACCACTACCACTACCACTACCACTACTACTACCACTACCACTACTACTACCACTACCACTACCGTTACCACTACCGTTACTACTACTACTACTACTCCTACTCCTACTCCTACTCCTACTCCTACTCCTACTCCTACTCCTCCTCCTACTCCTACTCCTACTCCTACTGCTACTGCTACTGCTACTGCTACTCCTACTCCTACTCCTACTCCTATTGCTACTGCTACTGCTACTGCTACTGCTACTGCTACTGCTACTGCTACTGCTACTGCTACTGCTACTGCTACTGCTGCTGCTGCTGCTGCTGCTACTGCTGCTGCTGCTACTGCTGCTGCTACTGCTGCTACTCCTACTAATTCTGCTGCTGCTACTACTGCTGCTCCTCCTCCTCCTGCTGCTGCTGCTGACATATAGGTTCGTTCGGGGCATGGGGTGTGCAATTTTTGTCGCGCCAGCACGCTCAGATCCGCAGATGAAGAACGTTGCGGGAGCCTGAGGATTCCAGCGATGTTGCAGCTTGCTCAACCGTGAGGGCGTTTTCAGAGCTTGAAGGGCAGGGCTTTCGGTTGTGGCCTAGCTTCTCAAACATCGTTTTTGGAGGGCAGGACGTAACTTGTGTTGAGTTATTCTGTCCATGTCTGATGGGGCCCTGACCGTCCCAAAAGCTCAAGCCGCCGGCCCATCGTCGCTTCCCAGATGGCCACCCTGGCCAAAATGACGGGCATGCAGTTCAACCTTCGGGACTGGCCGTGCCTGGTTCCCAGCCACGTGAGATCAGAGCGGTGTCTTCTCTTGGGCTGTTTGGAAGGTTGTTGCATGACAGCGAGGCGGAATAGTCAGAGTAAGTGTCGTATTCACAGCTGTGCATCATGCTCGTGCCAGTTCCCCCTTGCAAAACCGTCCTGAATGATGATCAACAAGTTTGCCACATGGGAAGCTTCAAAACCCGCGCTCAAAAACTGTCCGAGGTTTGGACAACAATCGGGCCCCCGAATAAAGCAGATCGGGGGTAGTGGTGCCTACTGTGGCTGGGCTCGCCGAAATCTGCCACCGAGCACGCAGTCGATGAGAAGTCGCGTGCATAGGCCTTCAGATCTCAGCGCAATGTTATCGGGGGAGGAGGGGGAGGTGGGCTTGGGGAGGATGCGGAGAAAGCGGGCAGGACTTGGGCAGATCGCTGCGGCACAAGACGGGAATCTGAAGCAGCTTCCGGTGATCCACTGACAGAGCTCGTGGTTTTGCGGTACATGCCTTAAGGCTTCCTGCCTTTCTGAGGTCCTAACCAGGATTGCGTAAACAACACCCGTATGGTTTTCGTGCGGCACCGAGTTACAGTGAAGAGTTTCGGATTTGGGGTTTGAGGCTTGGGGTCTAAGGGCCTAGAGGGCTTAGGATTTGGGGTTCGAGAACAGAGGCCAGGCCCATCCACCAAAATTAGGGCTTGTGGCCTACACCCTAAACCGTGTGTGTGTGGGGTTTAGGGCCCCCAGACTCCGCTGGCCGAGGGCAAGCACGAAAGCTGCCCACAGTGTGGCATGAGCAAGCCCGCTTGGGCCAACCTTGGAAGAGGACAGCGGGGAGTGGTGCTTAGAAGATAATAATGTAATTAATGGACATCATGATAGTAGAAAGTTATAATGACCCATAACAAGGAAACCAAGAATTGTCGTTCTTCTTGCTCTCATTAGCATAACTATTGATGATGGTTCTCAAATTTCCGCAGCAGGAAGACAGATAGGATAGGTGCTAGAGATCTGAAAGCTGTTCCAGCAATGTCGATTTTGGCTATCCCGATGGTTAAGAAGTTCGCTTGCTTTCGAGGTCAGGGTTGCTAATTGTTGTTGTCTCGTGTAGATGTTGGTCGTTCAGAGCCTGTGGATGTTGCTTAGGGTTCAGGGTTTAGGGGTTTAGGGATTAGGGGTTTAGGGTTTCAGCCTCTGTGGCGACTCTCTGGATCTTGGGGTTGCAAGGCTTGTGCAAAGTTCTTCATCCTCTCGGTTGGCTGGGCTCCGGAACCACGACAACCTGGCATAGACTCCCCTTTAGATTGTTATGTGTATGAGCTCTTATGTTGAAGCCGACCCTTGGGCCACAAAACCTAAGTTGAAGAATTCCAGGTTCTAGTAGCCAGGAAGCTATAATTGTAATTCCCACGTCCTTGGTTCTAAATCCGAAGCCTTCATTGTGAATCTGGGACTGCAGGCCTGCCTTGGGTTGTCGGGATGACTGTGCGGTGGTAGCGGTGGTGGTAGTCGTCGTAGCCAGAGTGGGACTAGGAGGAGCAGAGCATTAGCGTTAGCAGGAGGATGAGGAGGAGCATCATCAATCATCACCAGAATCCTCACCATCGTCAGAATCACCAGCATCATCATCATGAGCATTGGCGGGACAGTATTGAGTGCCAGAGTGATAGCAGCAGCAACGCTTACAACAGCAGCGAATGCGGCCACAGGGGCTCGGATTTTCGTTGGAGAGCTTTCGGGGCATCGCTCCACCACGGAGTCCACAGATGCAGGCGGTGAAAATCCCGCCGACTGGAAGTGCCCGTCACCGGACTGCCCGCGGCCTCGGTTTGCACCGCGATCACATGCTCATGGCCTCTCGAGGGGCAGCCTTAATGTGGTAGTGATCTTCGTACCACCCGGCACCTTGACACTGAAAGTCTTAAACCCCAACTCAAGTGCCAAAGTCTCCTGCTTCTGACGAGTCACGTACTCTGCATTCTCACGATCTGGTTTCCCGGATGTGAGGGCTTTCTTCTGGATTGAGATTCCAAGTTCGGCATCCTTGCCGTGTGTCATAAGAGATTGACGGTTTTTATCTTCGACCGGTCTTTGAAGCATGACCTGTCTCGACAAGGTGTAAACAACAAGAATTTCGTCTTTGCAAAGCACGATATTTGCCCGCGGTGCAGCATGGTCTCTCCCGACCTGTTTGAAGGTTGCACCTAAATCAACCTTGGCATCACGGTCATGGTGTGGTGAGATGATGACATGATGTTGTTGTTGATGATGATGATGATGATGTAGTGATATGATGCTGCTGCGGATGATCAATGATGACGGTGACTGATGATCATTCCTTTTGATCGTCATCGTGGTAATGATAATACCGGCTGTCAAACAGAATGAAATGTCGAAGATAACTGCTATTGCCACCACTGCTGCTTTTTTCTACCGCGACAAAGACGACAACCTACTATCATTGCTATTACAACGACACCAACAGCAACAACACCAACAACCACAACCGCAGCCGCAACCGCAACCGCAAGAGCAACCACCACCACCACCACCACCACCACCACCACCACCACCACCACCACCACCACCACCACCACCACCACCACCACCACCACCACCACCACCACCATAATAACTACTACTACTACTACTACTACTACTACTACTGCTACTACTACTACTACTGCTCCTACTGCTCCTACTGCTCCCACTGCTCCTACTGCTCCTCCTACTGCTCCTGCTCCTGCTCCTGCTCCTGCTCCTGCTCCTGCTCCTGCTCCTGCTCCTGCTCCTGCTCCTGCTCCTGCTCCTGCTCCTGCTCCTGCTCCTGCTCCTGCTCCTGCTCCTGCTGCGCCTGCTACGGCCGTCCCAGCAGACACAAAACTGCAGCCTGAGCACTCCAGCACCCTGTCCGAAGTGCCAAGGCGCTGGCCCTGTGGGTGCGGATGTCAGGGGCTCCTGAAACCCAAAGGCCCTGATGAAAGCCAAACTTCCCAAGCCCGAAACAGTCCCCGAAACCCAGATTCCCGAAAGCCCCGAATCTCAGCCCCAGAGTTCCCAAGAGCCCACGAGAAGCCCGAGCCCCCAAGAGCCCGAGACTCTGTGCCAGCCCCGGCCTGACGGTGGGTTCCGACAACGTCACGGCCTGTGTGCGGAAGTCTGGGGTTCGCCAGTTTCGGGAGGATCTTGGCCGGGTGTTGGGCTTTTGGTTGAGTGCCAGCTTGAGCTTCGCGGTTTGGGGCCCGCTGAAGCCCGAGGCCCCAAACCCTCGATGCAAAACGCAGTGAGCCCGAAGATTGCTCTGCCAAAGGCCTGCGTGCCAAACTTGCAACTGTCGTTTCTTGCAGCATGACGGTTCCATTCCAGTCAGCCTGTGGGATCGGATCGCATCCCGGAGCGCATGAAGCTCGCAAGACCTACTCCGCGGAGCTTGGACTCGCGACAGCAACCCCGAGCCAGATATGCAAACTAAGAGCCCTACACCCCAGGACCCCTGCAGCTCACAACTAAGGTTCGCGAAGTCCCCTCCGCATGAGATGAGCGACGAAGGACGGGCCTGGACCTGTAATTGTTTTCGAAGGGGACTTCGTTGCGAAAGGATGTTAAACCATACATGCTGAGCTCCGCGCAAACAAACACCCACTTGCGGTCACTAGCGAGGCTCGCACAAAAATACTTAGGTTTGACATCCCCAAGGCATCAAGGCGTAGCTGCAAGGGGTGGCTCTGAATGCCGAATCCCTGCTATCCATACCCCATGCACCCAGCCTGCCGCGGACCCAAGCCAGGAGCCAGCTGCACCTGCAGTTGGCAGCTAAGCGGGGCGGGTATGTTGTACTGCTGTGGGGATGCTGGCTCCACTTTGTGAGAGGCAGGTTCATGACCAGCTGAACAGTCTGGCAGAATGCTGAGGACAAAGACCAAGGATGCTGTGGACACCGTACAGAACACTGGAAGTGAGGCTTCAGGGTAGTTTGCCGGAATCCCACCTGCCTGCTCCACAACTCCCAGCCCTGAACTTTAACTTTCATCCTTTTTGCAAGCGCCTCTCTGTGGCTGATGCTTAGCTCTCAGCACATTGCAGTCCCCCCCCAAACTGATGGCGGGCCGCTCCGGGCGTTCTGCGGTACACGTGTCCTGTTTAACGAACGACAGCGACGAGGATTTTGGATGCCACAGACACAAAAGACCGCATTCTGGAACCTGTACTTGGAAGAGAACTCTCACGTGCCTACAGTGTGCATGCACTTCTGTACAGAATCGTAACCTCCGCAAGTTCTCAGATTGTTCAGTTTGGCCTTGAGGGCCATGGCAAGATTGTATACACCACATCTCACAGCCCAAGGGGCGTGTAAGCGTCAGGACCTTGCAGTTGAGGTATGAAGGTACGAGGAGCATTCGGTACCATCATGTTTCGGGGGATCCTTATTGTAATTACTGAGCTTCCTGGGGCCCCCAATATGGGTGGTTGTCAAAGTTATGGTCCCTTTTTGAGTACCTTAAATCTTAGGTGCCGTACTGTAACATGGACCCCCAAAAGGGACTGTAATTTTGACAACCACCTACATATGTCTTCATCTGGCTGTGCATCAGCCGCAGGCTCGAAGATGGTGCCCGGCCCGCTGTTCAGAACAGACCCTGCCCAATCTTGAGTATGCATAAACTAAACATAAACACATACTGTGAATCGACAGATAGATGAATAGGTGAAAAGAGAATATGCGTATACATTTTTGTGGAAATACAAATGCAGATATAAATGTGCATGTAAATATACATATTCATGGTACAGTGGTGTAAGCAACACACATGTGTGTTCATGGATACAAACAATTGTATACATTCATACATATACATATGCAACCAAGCAAGTATAGATACACATAAAAGTATGAATGATCAAAAAGAAGGAGTACGTTTGTGTGTGTATAGGTATATATGCATATAGAAAGATGAGTGTTTCGCTTTTCAGCTGCATGATTTGCAAAAATATGCAAGTGGAAAGAGTGCATGACCAGTGACATCCGACTATGCATCGGCAGGATGTAGACCTGGCATAGAACATAGACTTAGACATATCCCTGAACCAAGCAACCCGGCTCACATCTTCGCCCTGAGCACAAAGTAGATCCGTCTTAAGTCCAATTGCGGTGGCAGCCTCGGGGCGCCGACGGCAGCATGACGGCGGCGGTGGTGGGCATGTCTGCAAGTTAAGGTTTTATGAAGCGTGAGTTTGACAACAGCCATCATGCCTTGGATCTGATTTCTAAATCTCCGGTTGCCTACACCCTAGACCTCGGAACCTCTGCACTCCGAATTCAGGTGGACGTGCACGCAGAGGGGCTTCGGCAGCTGGAGCGGGCAGAGCGTCTGGTGGAGGCACCGGGAGTCCATATGTTCAGGGTTCAGTGTCTTTGGGCACTTTGTCCCATCGATCTCAGCAGCTGCAGCGGTAGAATAGGTTCAGTTTCGGAAACGGGCCTGGAGGACGACTTGCGGCTTTCGCAGCATGTCCAATTTGGGGATGGGTTCAGACCCTGGGTTCAAGGCTCCCAGACCCCTCCGTTTTGGAGGAGCCCATCAAGAACCCGAAAACCGGCAGCCATGCAGCTGGGTCTCCGTCTCTCCAGCAGCCTTCAGGTTGGCACCAGCGGCCCAAGGTGCCGTGGGCTGTGCAGTGGGGTGGGTGGATTTTGAGTTTACCGCTTTCAGGCCAGGGTTTTTGGTGTTACGGTTTCGGGTTTAGTCTGCCTTTCGCCCATCAGTGCTCGAAATTTCCGTAGAGCGCGATTCCCAATATTTAGGACACACACCCTTGCATATAGCACACCTAGGGAGCACCCCGACAAAGGTGGGATCCAGGCGGACCTGCCGGCCGCAGTTTTTATAGCATCAATCGCTGTGCGCATCGAGTAGGGTGGCCTTGCAGTGGGTATGTCTTCATGCTACCGCACACCAACCTTCGCGTGACCGGTCGAGCACACCTTCAAACCTTCAAACCCGAACCCCCCAAACATTAAGCCCTGCAACTTAGACCCTAAATCCAAACCCCAAACCTCTCTTTCAGGATATTTCGAACCTGAATGGCTTCGTGGTTTGAGGATTTTTAGCCCTCGTCGAAGCCTTCGACGTTCCGGTTTTAGATCAAATCGATTTGGCCTGCTAGGACCCCTGCAACATTGCAGTGAACCCTAGCCCTGCATATAGAATTTTCAATTATTATCCGTCCGAGAAAATGCACTAGAATCAAAACTGCACAATATACTATTATACAATGGCATGTGCGCATGCATACTACATTACAGTATAGTTTTAGTATACTGTACTATTCTATGCTACATAGCATACTATAGTTAGTTAATGTTAGTTATTACTTTCTCATCGTGTTGGAGCAGACCCAGGAGTCGGAGAACCGCAGTGCACAAGTCGCTGGAGCAGCTCTTCGGAGAGGCGCGGCTGAGGCCCCGCAATTGAAACCGGGGGTGACGGGGGGGGTGAAGGGTCCTGTAAAGGGTCCTTTAGAATGGTCCTGTCTTTGGGTTTTGGGGTTCGAGCATATGTGGGCTTGTGGATTCTGGGTTTGTTTTTGTTTTGACGGTGTTGTTTCTTTCAGGCTTGCGGTGATCAGGTTCTGGCGTTGCAGGGCTTCGGCTTCGGTGGTCTTGAAGCTTTGGCGTTGAAATTGACCGGGAGCTCGTGAATCGGTTCAGTTATGTTCTGAAACTCACCAGAAGATGACCTAGACCCTGATTGATAAGGCACTCAGCCTCAAAGGTTTAGGGAGGGCTCCTACTATCATCCCTTTTGCGGACCAGGGTTCTTTGACTACTCATGAGCCGGCATTACGCTCAATATAGCCCGGCGAGTCATTCCGGCCGCCCTAAATCCGCTGGACTTGTGTCTCAAATCTTGTAACTCATCCATCTTCCTCCCTGCATCTAGAATCCTATAAAGGTCCTACATCCCTGGCCCAAATGGAGGTCGCAGACGTTCTCCGGAGCAAACGCATTTGCATCCACCTCCTCCTTGCCTCGGCTCCTTCAGACGCCACAGGCGCAGAGGCCCGGCTGGGGGCTGTCATAGGGGGCCTTTACAATTCGAATCGGGTTCCTTTAACGGTTTTATAATACTTTTGTTTTCAAGGTTTCGTATGATCATACTATCTGGGCCTTAATGATTAAGATAAGGTTTGGGGGCATTATACTATAACTACCGTAGAACCAGGAACCCCAATGAATAGTTATTCATTTACATTGCCTTACTTGGGTTCAGGGCGTAGGATTCTGATGTCACGCACGAGGATCTTCAGAGGAAGGATCCCACCAAAGTACGATCCGCATCAGCTATCACTAGTACATATGAGAAAGCTCTTGACAAAATCGACAACACCACGCACCGCCGCTTCTTGCGGATGGCCAATCTTCAGGCTGGAGAGGGACATTGCAGACTTCACCCTGGTACCGCAAACCGCGCCGGGCGCGGCTCTGCCGCGAGCGGACGCTGAGCAGCCGTCCTTGGGCCTCCAGGCGCCAGGGCTATCCTAGTTCATTTTCACGCGGAGGGTTGGCTCCTTGTGACGATGCAGACAAGTTTTTATCCAACCCTGAGCACTGAACCTCAAGCCAAGGAGTTCTTCGGCTTGCGTCACGAGCGCGTGATCGTGGAAACCGTTGAGGCTTTGGGCTCGGGGCTTCGGGGGTGCGGGTGTAGGGCAACAGGTTTTAGGGGTTTAGGGGTTGCCAGAAAAACCACTTCTCTCCCTCGTCTTTGAGCTCAGGGCCGGCATAGCTGATCATGATTCGGATGATAGATCCTGATGGTAGTGATGATGATGATGATGACGATGGCGACAGTGATGGCGACGGCGATATGGAATTGACACCACCGCTTCCTCGTCACCGCTGAAACTGCCACTGTTCGTCGTCTTGTTGTCGTCGTAGTCGTTGCTGCAGCCCCGGCAGCGAAGATCGTTGGAGCAGTGGAAAAACAGGCGTCATCATCAGCTGCAAGACTGACACCGCACGTCATCACTACTACTCTCATAAGAATTCGGGTTCGGTGGGTTCTCGATGTTTCTTTGAGTGGATCTTCGAAGGGAGCATGCGGGCCTTCCCGATGCTTGGCCAGAAGAACTGCTGCGTCTACAGGGACTCCGCCGAATCAAACAACTAACCACTTGTCTCGTCTAGTGCGGAGGTACTGCATCCGCACGAGAAGAAGCACAGTGATTTCCGTCCTGGGAGCACTCCATCACAAGCATCGAACAGAGCTAAAGCCTTAGACCCGAAACCGTACTTTAAATAAAGTTCCAACCAGGAGAGCTACAGGGACTGCCTGCGGAGCTGCGAGCGCCAATCCTTCGACCGACTCCAGGCAGACTGGGAGGAGGCGAAGACGCAGCTTCCCGGCGGCGTTTCTGAGGTTTAGGCTTTACTATAGGGGCTTGAACAATTACCAGTACTATAATCGAAACTCCTTATTATAATTATAGTATAATGGGCCCCAGAACCCTATTCTACTTATTAAGGCCCTTATATTAGG